TTCCTCCAGTTCCCTTCCGCCAATTCCCTTCCACCACTTCCCTTCCTCCAGTTCCCTTTTCCATAGTTCACTTCCCCCAGTTCACTTCCTACAATTACTTTCCTCCACTTCACTTCCTCCAGTTCCCTTTCTCCAGTTCCTTTCCCACAGGTACCTTCACCCAGTTTCCTTTCCACACTTCACTTTCACCAGTTCCCTTCCTACAGGTTCCTTCCTCCAGTTTCCTTCCCGCACTTCCCTTGTAACAGCTCCCTTTCCAAAATTTCCTTGCCATAGTCAGGCTAGCTCTCAATCTGCACAAAGAACAAACACCAAAGCATGATTATAGCAGTGATCGAGATTGATAAATGCTTGGAAGACTACTTTAGCCTGAATATGAAATTAAAACAAAGCATGTGAGCAGCATATTTTTCAGTTTCAACTCTAAACTGAAAAAGTGAAAAATCAAGATTTCGGTTTAGACTCTAGACTCTAAACTGAAAATAAAAACACCAGTTTTCCGTTTAGACTCTAAATAGAAAAATTAAAAAAAGTTGGCAGTTTAGACTCTAAACAGAAAATTGAAAAATTGGCAATCAATCCTGTTTTTTCTACGCGCATGTCTCTTTAATCCCTCCTGTTGCGCTACACAGCAGCAATGCTAGTTGCTTTATATAACTTTATTGCGAACAAACAAATCCTACGGGAGGGCAAGCCACCTGATACAAAAGGCAAGCCTCTATAAATCAACACTTGACAGTCTTAGCTTTAAGCAGTTTTTTTCTGGCAACCACCCTGGACATGCGCAAGCCGCTATGAATGAAACCTTTTTCAGGGGGCAAGCCACTCTGACTTTGCAAGGGCCAGCCACTTGCTGTGTTTCCAAAAAAGGTTGTTACAAATGCAGTGCTGAGAGCCAAAAAATTCAAATAAAACACTGAAAATTGCAAATTAAAACACTTGTGTTTTCTTCAGCAGGTCCAGTGCGCATCTGTGGCTTTCAAGCCACTTTTTGAAATGGCCAAGGCCACACAGGATTTAGTAACAATACATATTCATTTACTGGGAACAGGGAAACTATAGAATGAGGGGCATGGAATGATGGGCAAGCCACATCTTGTTGGAATGAGGGGCAAGCCGCCTCTGGTTAGTTATAGGATCAATGGCAAGGTTCATGTCAATATTTTCACCTCTTAAAAAATGCAGGCAACTAATCAGGGGCAAGCCACCTATAGAATGAGGGGCAAGCCACCTCTAGTTAGTTTATGGCAATATGGATCAGTAACTTTAATACAATCATAGGGAATCAAGAAAGAAATCCTCAGACAACAACACACTGTAATACCTAAACTCTTGCTTTCACACAGGGAAAAAAGGACAATTCACATGATAAAAAGGACGTTTCTCATGAACAGAGATTTGCGTTGCGCCAAAGATGTCTGCAGAAGAACCCTTCGCAGAGCTCCCGGGAAAAAGAAGAAGAGGGCGCGCGTAATTAAGAGATGCGCGTGAATACATTTAAGATGTTTATAGCTGCAGTTGCATGTAAGACGCTACAAGTAAATGCGCAGCTTGCGCGTTTCTAGAGTTGTTGCTACGGATGTAGCAAGATGAGACTCGTGGACACCACCAGTCATATTTTCGACCACAGTTATAGACACTTTTGGCAACCTCCACCTTTGTTTTTGGCGCCAATTGCACGGCGACCCGCAACCAAATTCGCACGTCGCCTCGCGTTTGAGCCCTCCACGCGCACGATCTGCGCAGAGGGTTCACCGCGCTCACACAAAAATGCGACACGCACGATCTCCGCAGAGCGTTCATCCAGCGCAGCCGCAATTCGCGCGTCGCCTCATGTTTGAGCGCTCGACACGCACAATCCCCGCAGAGGGCTCATCCGCGCAGCCAGAAATCCAATCTCGCCTCAGGTTTGAGCACTCGACGCGTACGATTCGATCTCCGCAGAGCGTTCATCCAGCACAGCCGGCATTCACACGTCGCCTTATCTTGGGCCTATGTTGGGTCATCTTGGGGACCTCTGTTGGATCATCTTCGGGCACATTTTGAGTAATTTATGTTGGCACGGACCCATCACCCAAAAAATGCCATGCAACCCCGCGCAGCGCGCATAACTCGCACCACCCTTGTCCCACAGTTTTGGCACTTCGCCACCGCAAAAACTTTTGATCTTCCTTGCGCACAAAACCCTGTAAAACACAAGGAAAAGGAAAAGGCAAATTAGAGGCAAGGACAAGGAAAAGGAAAAGCCGGGCAACGACCAGGAAAAACCGGCCAATGACCAGGAAAAATCGGCCAACGACCAGGAAAAGCCGGGCAACGACCCGGAAACGGCGGGCAATGACCAGGAAACGGCGGGGCAAGGGCCAGGAAGAACAAGGAAAAGAAAGGAAAACGAAACGCCCAGCAAAGACCAGGGAAAACACACAAATTGACCGGAATGGCTCTATGGTTTTAGAGAACGGTGTTAAGCGAGAAAGATTTTACTGCCGTCAGAAAGCAACGTTTGGCGCTGACCGACCAGCTTCGAAGACAATTTCTTGTTGTTTCTGGTGCGGAATGAGGTTGTGTAAAGCTGGCTTTCGAGAATGGTGTTAAACAAGAAAGATTTTTACTGCCGTCAGAAAGCAAAGTTTGGCACTGACAGATCAGCTTCGAACACCGTTTTTTCATATTTGTGTGGAATTAGATTGACGCTGTGGCGAAGGAGATTGCCGGAATGGCTCTATGGCTTTAGAGAATGGTGTTAAACAAGAAAGGTTTACTGCCGTCAGAAAGTCAGAAAGCAACGTTTGGCACTGACCGATCAGCCATTTCTTGCTGTTTCTGGTTTGGAATTGGTAAACTGCGTAAAGCCGTGGCGAAGCAGATTGCTGGGAGACTTGGGATTAGCTCTATCGCTCTAGAGGCAGACTAGAATGGCCAGAAGAAAGTGGGTCTAGATCGGTTGTGGCTCCAGAGACAGACTAGAATGGCCAGCAGAAAGTGAATCTAGATCGAACTTTTAGAGAAAAATATTTCAAGATAATGATATTCACTGGCGGGCGTCAGAAAGCTGACCGCTCAGCTCTAGGGACAGACTCTATGGCTCTAGAGAATGGTTTGTATGGGTCTAGAGAATGGGTTTAGACAATACGTTGGATCATTTTGCATCTTTAGTGCAACTGTTCAGAAAGCCACAGATGCCAAAAGCAGGTGCCTCCTTTACTTTTGGAATTCGGTACAAGAGTGTCAAGAGTGACATACAAGAGTGTCGGACAAGAGTCTCCCACAAGAGTGTCCCACAAGAGCCTCTTACGAGAGCGTTTACAAGAGTGTCCTACAATGTCCTACAAGGGTGACCCACAAGAGTGCCATACAAGAGTTCCAAAAGAGTGACCCACAAGAGTGTTCCGCAAGAGTGTCCCGCAAGAGTGTTACCACAAGAGTGTGACAAGGGTGTCCTACAAGAGTGTCCTACAAGGGTGTCCACAAGAGTGTCCTACAAGGGTGTTCCGCAAGAATGTCCCACAAAATTGTCCCGCAAGAGTGTCCCGCAAGAGGTGTGTCCTACAAGGGGGTCCCACAAGAGTGTCCTACAAGAGTGCCCCGCAAGAGTGTCCCACAAGAGTGTCACACAAGAGTGTCTAAGAGTGTCCTCTGAGAGTGTTCCACGAGAGTGCCCCACAAGAGTGTCCGCCAAGAGTGTCCGACAAGAGTGCCCCGCAAGAGTGTCCCACAAGAGTGTCCGACAAGAGTGTCCTTCGAGGGTGTCCCACAAGAGTGGCATACAAGAGTGTCGCACAAGAGTGTCCCACAAGAGTGTCCTACAAGCGGCAAGTGTGCCCCACAAGAGTGAGTGTCATACAAGCGTGTCCCACCAGAGTGACATACAAGAGCGTCCCACCAAAGTGCCCCGCAAGAGTGTCCCACAAGAATGTCCTACCAGACTCAGAGTGCCCTACAAAAGTGCGACACAAGAGTGCCCTACAAGACTGTCCCACAAGAGTGTCCTACAAGAGTGTCCCACAAGTGTCCTAAGAGAGTGTTCCGCGAGAGTGCCCAACAAGAGTGAGTGTCATACAAGAGTGTCCAGCAAGAGTGCACCACAAGAGTGCCCCTCAGAAGTGGCAACTTGCAGCACACATGTAATGCGGGAAGCAGCTTCTGGGAGCTGTGGCCACAGGACAGGCCTTGGTAGTACAAATGTAGTGCGTGAAGGGGCTTGTGGCAGGTGCGGCCTCAGAGCTGGGCACTTGGTAGCGCAAATGTAGCTTCTGAGAGCTGTGGCCTCAGAACTGACCACTGGTTAATACAAATGTCGTACGACAAGCAGCCTCTGGGAGCTGTAGGACTGGCAGCTTTCGTTGTACAAATGTAGTTAGTGAGGGAAGCAGTTTCTGGGAGCTGTGGCCTCAGAAGTCTCCTACAAGAGTGTCAAAAAATGTTTGGGCGTTTGTTTTCCAGCACGTGTTTGCATTGGGGTTCGGGGGTTCCATCTTGTTCTGCTTTTTGTTGTTTTTTGGTTTCTTGCTGATTGCTTGCCTTCTGGGAAAACTCCTTGTCTTGATTGTGGGATCATTGTCTCTGAAGCGGCTGCTTTGCTTGGCGCCACTGTTTGATTGTTGGATGAATGCTTACGCAATCCGTCGGTTGGCTGTTTTGACCGGTTGTTTTGCTTGGTTTGTTCTTTGCCCAGCACAATTGCAGAAACCACAGTGCTGCCGGATATGTTATTTTCAAATCAGAGGTCCTGAAATCGCAGTGAAGAAACTCTTGCGTCTTGCATTGGCCTTCATGGAATCAGGTTTTTCTTGATATTGAAGGAAGCCTCGATGAGAATTACGAACAGTTGCAGTAAACAAATGCGCGCTTGGGCGTGGCGAAAGGGTAGGTGCTGCGAATGCCAAATCGATCATTTGCTGAATGAAAGGCCAGGCAAGAATCATTGGAGCAAGGACAACTGGACGACAATGAGAACAGGATCGCTGTAGAGTCTCAAAGCCTTCCAATTTCCCAGTCGCCTCTGACCGCTTGGCTTGGAGCTCTTGGTGCTGCTGCAATGCTTGCTGCCTGCGTACCTTCGCAAAAGGGATCTTGATCAAAAGAGTGTTGCAAGTTTTTGATTTTGGATTTTGCATCTCTCTGTCCAACCTCCAACTGCTGTACTCGTTGAGCATGAACCTGATCGTTTCTGTTTGTCTACGCAATAGCGTCTGCAATCGAAACGAGCCCGAGCAAATTACCTGTTTGGCTTTCTCAGTGTCTGCCATCACACTCTTCAAGGACCTCGGGCAAAGGTTCACAAACAAAGAACAAAAATGCGCACCTCATCATCAGGGACAACAGCATGGGTTCTGGCACATCCAAATCAGTTCCATCTTGCCTGGCGGCCTGGCATTTTTTCCTTTGGATTCCCTTTATTTATGTTCACCCCCAATGTCTTGACTTAAGAAAAAACTCTTGGCACCTCGAGCGCCTGGCGCAGCTGGGCCAACTCCTCCCGTGAAGAAGTGCAGCGCTGCTTGGCCGCATCTGCGCTGCTAGCAATGCTTCCCACACCTTTGCGTCGTCAATCGTCCACCGCATTTCGCGCTAACAAACAACGTATGTGACATGATTCAACAGCCGAGGCCAAAGCGTGTGAGCCTCAGCACACGCAAGCAGAACGTTAAATTGTTGGGAATGGCTGATCGAAAACACTTCTCAGGATGCGCACTCTTCCTTGTAGCCCTCCATGTGCTTGACCAACCTGTCAGGATGATCAAGAACTATCCATGTGGTGTCCAATTAGGTTTGCTTAAGTTGTTCCTCATCTTATCGAACCGTCATTTGCACAAGTCAGCTATCTCCCTTGAGAACCGTCACCGTTGCCATGAGGCTGTGGCCTTTATTGCGAGCCAACCACTGTTGAGTTTATGCAAAGAAGTGAGCAGACGCAAATAAAATGAGGGAATCCTAATGATCAAGGCCCGTCTGGCGATCAAGTCTCCGACCCGGCCCACAAATATAGAGATAGGCATGCATAAAGTATCAATTAAAAATATGCATGTGTATATATATATATTTTTTTTGTATGGGGTATATAATATTGGCAACCTCCTCGTATACTCCAAGGACAGATTGTTACGCAACAACAGCGGGAGCGCTGCTGCGAGCGGCTGACCACCTGCGCGTCGACGACGTGGTATACGTACGGCATACATCATGGAAGAGCTCTGTCGCGACTATTACAACACATTGAAGATCATGGCACTTGTGGCCCAGCTGCAGCTGAACTCGCCAGACAGAGGCTTACCAACAAGCGTTGCGCGTCTTTGCCACGCACAGCTCGCGGGCCTCTCAGTGCGCCGTGACACACATGCTAGCGTGACACACGCCAGCCCGCGCGCGACAACATGTCAGCACGACAGCCTGACAACACGTCGGTGACACCGGACAAGCAAATTGGCGCGACAACACATATCATATGTCTACACGTCCGCGTGACAGCATTGCGCGCCAGAACACTGGCGTGGCTACATTGATTGTGTCAGGGAGAACTTATCTGCTCCAGAGAACATATTTGCTCCACCACGTCGACTAGAAGCTGCTCGGGAAAGCCAGCGTCTGCTCTGCAACAGAACTTCCTCCGGCCCCTGCTCCGGAGCTTGTTCCGCTACTACTGCTCCAGGCACCTTAAGCTCTGTCCGGAACGTCTTGGGACTTGCGCCGGAACCTTCTCCACAACCTGCTCAATGTTGCCACGTGCACATTGTGGATACATGGTATGGGCGGCCCGCCGACGTATTATTGCCACGTTAGGGGTGAGGTAGTCGCTTCGGAGCGCAACAAACAGAGTCGCTTTGGAACGCAGGAATATGATCGCTTCGGATGAATACGTCTTTCTATATACCCTTGCCCCACCCCCCACCCCACCCCATCCTTCATCCTTGACCCCCCCATCCATCCCTTTGTGTGTCTGTGTGTGTGTGTCACAGTGTGTCAACGCCTGTTTCCAAGGATTTTCACTCTACCCTTTACGACTGTTTTTATCCTTGTGTCTTTGGACACTTCTCAACGAGACTATACTTTACGCAGCAGGGGGTAGCGGCAGATCATTTGGGACTGCTACCAACGAAGACGCCCATTTGATCTGGCGACATCGGAGCTGGCCACTCCGACGTACCTGCACCAACTTTTAATCGACTCGTTGCTTCAAAGAGTTGTCAAAAATTGTTCAAACATCTCCAATTCCATGGACTTCTTCGCCTTTCGGTTTGCACTTTTCCTTGTACCAGTCAAGGTCTACAATGCAGCCGGTAACGTAATCGTCTAGAGTGGGACTTCATACTGATACTAGCTCTTGTGAGCAACAATCTAAATGTTCTAAAGTGACCCAAAAACCTTGCATTTTGTGTTCCAAAGTGATCTCTCAGAAATTGGCTTTTGTCAAGCCTTCCATGTTTTTGGATCTTTTGTGTTCCAAAGCGACACATCTTTTGTGTTCCAAAGTGACTTTCAAAAACTGTGCTCCAAAGTGACCCAAAACTTGTGTTCCAAAGTAACTCTCCGACCCCACGTTGGCACGCGCGCGCCACATTGAAAAGGTTCCTGGGGTCAATTTTCTGGCACAAACAGGGCACTTGCTGGTGAACTTGCGGTCGCGCTGTTGCTGCTCGGGGTTTTAGATAGACTTAGTTAGCTTCTAGTTTCACCAACTGCCAAGCTTCCGGGTCTTAAGCCATAGAAAAGCCATTGGCGCAGATCGGAGCAGATTGGATTGCAAGCCGCGTGACCAATCAGGCTCAAAGCGACGCCTGCGCAAAATTACGCCTTCTTTCTTTGGACAAGCCTTCGCCTAGAAATTTGCTTCGAAGTCGTTTACGTCGTTCACAAGGGCGTCGGTGTCTTCTTCATCCACTTCTAGCGGGCGTCCGAAGCTGCTTTCTGCATCTCACTGACTTGCCGACAATCTCCTCCAAGAGCCCACTGAGCGGGAGCGGCCAACATGGACGATTCTGCTGCGCAAACCACATACTTCCCAAAGCTCTCTCATGAATTTTCTTTCCCCAGTAGGCGTTCATCCCCTTCTTGAGCTCACCCACCACGCGCTCAACATCACCAGTTGCTTCATGGTATTCGGCGGGAAAAGGACAATGCCTTTTCCATTGCAAAACCGCCCGGGCAAACTACGAAGAAGATTGGCTACCGCCGAAAAAGTTTTCAGCCCCAGCCAAATTGCGAAGGAAAGCTTGAGTTCCTGGGCGGCCACATACAGCCGAAGCAGCATCATCGCCGCTGTCTCGACTAATCGATTCAATTCCTTCAATGAAGCTCTTTCAAACCTTGCTTGCCATGTGATGAAAAATAGCCCCGCAAGCTCTCTTCCCGCAAGACTTGCATTGGTTTTGAACATGGGCTCCATGGCATCGACAAGCAAACCCAAAGCTCTCCCATCTGAGGAAGCTTCCTAGCAGCATTGTCTTTGGGCCATTCCTGAATGATTTCACTGCCCTAATAGAGACGCCGTTTGACAACTTTGGTGGCTTTTCTCTTCCGCGCCTGCCTTGTTCAATTCCTCAGGCGTCAGCTCGTTCAAAGTTTGCAAAGGTGAAGTGGCTCTAAGCAAAAGAGATCCACATGATCTTGGCGCGATGTTCATCTACCAGTTGCAAAGCTAAGCCATTCAGGGCGAAGTAGATCACAGCCCTTGTGTAAACCTAAGTGCAAAGCAGACATCAGGCTGTCAGCTTCACAACAAAGCTCCAGAAAGTCAGCCTCAGGGTTGGGGTCTGGCGAAGACATTCTTGCGCGGCGCTTCCAAGCCAAAAACTTGCCTGCGCAGCCCTTGGCCAGTTGGCCCGGCTTCCACCCTAATGTAGCCGCGTAGCCCTGCGTTTCAGAGCTCGTTGAAGTTTTTCCCGAGAGCTGACTTCTTTGGGGCGCGAGCAAAAGCGCCTATGGCGCCGCATAGACAGGCCTGCAGCCTTCACGCGCTTCAGTGAGCGGCAGAAGGGTTCCCGTTGAACCGACAGGTCCACGCGCGAGGCAAACACGTCAGCGAAGCGGCACGCACAATAAAGGCCGCGCAACCAGGCCTTTCGACTTTGCTATCCTGGGGCTCTAGTGAGGTTGAACTGCACTGTCGCCCACTCATATGTACCACTACAGGATCCTATAAAGTCTCTTAACCAGCGCCGGCTTGCGATTGAAATTGTTTTGCAAAGGTCCTCCTTACGACTGCGTCAATAGGACAGCGGAAGTGGGTAATGGGTGAGGCGCAAAAGAAAAGGAACGATTTTCCTGAAATTGGGGGGGCGCAAGGACAACAGGCTTCGTTTAACGATGTTCCGGCGGTCGGTGCATGAAAAATGCTTGGTCAGTGTGAGATTGTACCAGCCGAAAAATGAAAAACAATTACCACGGTGCCTTCATGTATATACTCTGACGCCTGACAAATTCAAACTTACACAACCATATTCTTGGGGCTGCAACCCTTGAGCGCCTGCCAAACATTTGGTCTCGCTGCGAATGAGAGCGGCGCTGATTCGCCTTCTCCTCCAGGATAGCCTGCTCAGCAAGAAGCCCCAAGTTCATTCCCACAGGCCTCACAAATTATTTCTGAAAACTACTGCGGCGTGAAAGCTCCGGAACAAGAGTCTACCTGCATCAGCTGTAGCCGGCGTTGACCCTTTTCAATCTTGTCACCGTTTGCTCAGTCTCTGGGTTTTGAGTAAACAGCCATCTGGCAGGTCTGCCCATTGCACGGCGGCTGTTGAAATACGCACTGAATCCTACAGGCCGTCGGGCCCCTACGTGCTCGGGACGGCGTGTGTGTGTGTGTTAACCCCTGTTTCGAAGGGAACTAACCTATCTATCTATTTTTCCTGTACTCTATTTCGCTGAGTTGCACCTTGTACAGCAGCAGCAGGGGCGTGTGACACTCTTATCCTATCACACGCAATGAAGCTGTGGATAAGAGTGGGAAGGGAAACTTGGCCAGTTTCCTGTACCTGCACCAATTGTTTAACATATTCTAAAGAGCTAATGCGTTTGTTCAAGCATTCAGTTGCGCTGACCTTTCACTCCAGTATTCACTTAAAGGGCTAATGCAAGTCAAGGGCTAAGTATTCACTTAAAGGACTTAAAGGGCTAATGCTCACCGCGAATTGCCTGAAGACAAGCTCCGCGGAGCAACCTTCTCAAGTGCGTTTCGCAGCTTCTTCCCACTGTGGTAAGCTGTGTGAACCGTACGGGGCGCCGTTACCGAGAGACCCTTCTCACTCCTCAC